GTTTGGCAATATCATAGGATCTTTAATCAATACTGTTTGTAATTACCTAGGCAACTGGTAACATGTTGTCAATGTACCTCATCTCTCTCCGACTCACAATCAGAGGGTAATCATTTGCCTGTATTATGTACCACATCTGAACCAATAAAGTACTTGCAGTCAGAGCGAGCACATGTGCTGGGCAGCCTGACCTGGTGCTCCCGGTATGCCTCTAATACAGAGGCATACCAGAGCACCATCAACCCTGCGATCGCCGCGATAGCGGCGATCCAGGGTTAATTTTACCGCGTGATGGACGAGGTGCGTCACTCGTCATTAAGGGTCTCCCCTCTGTGACGGACCTCGTCCATCACCCGTCCTTAAGGGGTTAAGAAAAATTTAAAAAAAGCACATATTCCAATTGGTGTCACTATCGTCTGGATAAATTGATATTTTAAATATGAACTAACCACCCTCTACTTTTGAGTAGACGGACTTGTAGCGGATGGCACTGGGCTGTCCTGCAAATGTCCTTGAAATAATTGCATTTGTGTGATCTGCTAGTTTTCTATGTGTTTTAAAGCCTTGTATTCTTTTGATTGTTCGGTAGTTCCATTCCCTTAGTTTATTCGAATGAAACTACCGAACAACCAGACCTCCCCTGTGTAAAGTGTGTCCTCAATTACCCGTTGCAACATTGTTGCGAACGGGTAATTGACTAGGAAGTAGCCGTCCTTTGTTCTCGGGGGTGGCCGCCATTCGACAAACGAACACGTGGCGGCGACCATTTTAAAACTCCCGAACAGCGGTGTTTTGCCGTCGAGTGTCTGGAACTAAAATCGGACACTTGAGTAGGCGAACACCGCTGAGACCTCCACAAGCCCGGTCCGTTCGGTTCCTAACTACCGAACGGCCCCTCGTTCGGTAGATAGAAAGAACCGAACGAGGGGATTCAGGCGAACCCTCCCTAGCCTCTATAGCTAGAGGTTTTCGTATATTTTATTCCCTTATGCCAGGACCGACCGCAGGGCCCATTCACATGGAACCGGATTCGGCTATCTCTGTTCGTGCGGTCGGTCACTTTATTCCCTCCATACTTTTCCCGAACCCCTGGTCTGATCTGGGTGATTTTTGGATATGTTGTTCAACCAGATCAGGGGTACCGGGGATGTATGATTTAAAGGGGTACCCCTACGTTTAGGGGTACATCCAGAAACGGGGGGAATTGGTGTGCTGGATAAGGGGATTATGATGCTGGCTGAGGGGAGGAGATGTGTGGGAGGTTACCGGGACAGGATTGGCTACTGTAATAATTACTGTAAATCCCTCCCTTGCATGGGAGCATGCTTTATAAGGAGACTGTGATTAAAGGCTTGTCGGTTCTGCTCCTG